TGCAGCCAATAGCCAGGTAACTAGTAAGGCTCAGGATAAGTCTAAGTTTCCGCCGTGTGTTTTGTGTAAGGGTAGTCATGCATTGTGGAATTGTGCTGTTTTTAAGGAAAAGAATGCTACTCAGCGAGCAAAATACGTAGCTGAACAAAAACTTTGCTTCGCTTGTCTCAATGGCAATCATAGTTTACGGCAATGTTCTAGAGCAAAAAAGTGCCCGAAGCCAGAATGTGATAGCACACATAATGTCTTGCTCCATGGAGCCGAAAGAATATTTCCTCGGAAGGAAAATTCAAATGTCTCGAATAAGGCTGGAACAAACAAATCCAAGGAGAATACAAACACTTCCATCCATGCCGCTGTTAGTGATGTACATGGCATTGAATCTTCTAAAGGGTTGTTGCCAATTGCAACACTTGGTGTATCCTCGGATGTAACCAGTCTCCTGACGTTGGTTCTTTGTGATAGTGCATCGACTCACTCCTGGGTGTCTTCGTCACTCGTAAACCGTCTCGGCTTAGTAGGGGAGCCCGTTAACTTGTCATTTAGTGGTTTCAATTCAACCACCGTTGTTGAGACTCAGAGGGTCAAGTTTACAGTTTCCTCCGAGCCGAATAATAGTGATTTCGTATTTTCTCTCTGTGCATATGTTAAAGACAATATTCGGATTGGTTCCGAATTAATCAATATTGCTGATTTGCAGAATAAATATCCACAATTAGCACCTATTAAGCCCATTCAATATACTTATGAGGACGTTGAAGTTATTATCGGACAAGACTACTACCACGCCGTTAGACCCATTGAGTTCATCTTGGGAGATGATAAAAACTCACAGTGATCCGTTCGCCTACCGATAGGTTGGGTCTTAAGTGGTCCGTTGCCGCCGTCCGGTAATTCTACTTCTTCGTGTTTCAAGTGTGTTGTTGAAGATTCTTCTCTGACCGACCAGATAAAATCCTGGTACGAGTTGGAATCGTATGGTGCTTTCAAAAAAGTTGATGCCCGTTCCGCCGCGGATAAACATGCTTTATCCATCCTCAATTCTGAAACCGTTCACAATGGCGAAAGATACCTTGTGCCTATGCTTTGGATTGATAGTAATGTCAGTCTACCAAACAATTATTACTCGTCACTCGCCCAATTTAAATCATTGGAGAGAAGGTTAAGTAAAGACCCTGAGCTGCGCGAAAGATACGCAGAAACAATTAGAGAGGACATTAGGAAAGGCTATGTCGTTACCGTCGAACCGCATGATCCACGTAAGCGTTCCGATCGCGAGTGGTATCTTCCGCACCATCCCGTTGTAAATCCGAATAAGCCGGGTAAGGTGCGCCGAGTCCTTAATGGGGCTTCTAAGTTTCACGGAACATCCTTAAATAAGTCCTTATTGGTGGGTCCTGACCTTTTTTGTGCTTTTGCGATTCCGTCAACATAAGTACGCCGTCTCCGCGGATATAGAGGGTATGTTCCTCCAGGTAGGAGTCCTTGCCCGCGATCAAGTTTCGCTCCGTTTTTTGTGGCGGGAGGATACCACTTCCGATGTGGTAGTTCATCAGTACACTCGCCATATATTCGGCGCACGGGATTCGCCTACGTGCGCCAATTTCGCGTTGCGAAAAACAGCAACTGATAATATGTCCACATACCCTGAGGCCGCCTCATTCGTAAATGAAAAATTTTACATGGACGATTACTTGGATTCATTCGAGAACGTTACCCAAGCAATTAAAACTAGTCGCGATTTGGTTTCCTTACTAAAATTAGGAGGATTTAATTTGACTAAATTTGTCAGTAATGCTGATGAAATCACTTCAACAATGAACCCCGAGGAATCCGAAACCTCGTTTTCACCCATCAAGGAAATTTGTAACGGTGCCGAACAATCATCACACGTCTTAGGTTTTAAGTGGGACCATGTGAAAGACACATTGGTTGTTAGCAGAGGCGTGGATCGTCCTCTCGATAAAGCAATAACTCAACGAACCGTCTTGAGTTTCGTATCTTCTGTGTTTGACCCTGTTGGGTTAGTAGCTCCATACACTGTTAGGGCCCGTCTTTTACTGAAAGATATTTGGAAAATCAAAGTTGGGACGACGAATTGCCAGAAGAGATAAGAGATAAGTTTCTCGAGTGGCACTCCGGTCTCCCTCTCTTAGGGCAATTGACTATTCCCCGTTGTTACTTCACAGAGCCTGTTGATCAAATTGAGCTCCACATGTTCGGTGATAGCTCGCAGGACGTTTTCTGTGCTGTTGGATTTTTGCGTGCGCGACTCGCGAGCTCGCATAAAACTCAAATATCCTTCATCTTTGGTAAAGCTCGCGTTGCGCCCATGAAAGCGCTATCTATACCGAAGCTAGAGCTTCAAGCTGCTCTGCTCGCCACACGACTAAAAGATGATATACTGACCGCACTTACCGTCTCTATTAATCATGTCTTTATGTGGACAGATAGTACAACAGTTTTGCAGTGGCTAAACTCCACTGAAAAATTACCTGTATTCGTCGCTAATCGTGTCGGCGAAATCCTCGAGTCGACCACTATTGATGAGTGGCACCATGTTCTGAGCGGCGATAATCCAGCTGATACCGGTACGCGGGGGATTTCTTCGGAAGCCCTCAAGGATAGCAGCTGGGTTATTGGTCCGAGCATTCTCAGGACTACTGATTGGCCGTTTATACCCGACGAACGTGTAATCAATAAAATTCGTTTGAAGGGTCCTTCTTGTGATGTTGATAATTGCTTGGAGACATCATCTTCCTTCGTCACCGATGTCACATCAATCAAACATCCCGAACACGGGTTCAATTGGGAAAGGTTCAGTTCCTTTACAAGATATAAACGAGTAGTCGCTTTTATGTTGAGGGTTTTGCCTTCACATAAGCATTTTCGTGGTAAGGACTTACGAATCACCGACCCCACTGAACTTGATATTGCAGAAAGCAAACTGATTCATCTTGCTCAGATGGAATCCTTTCCCGTTGAGTTAAAAACACTCACCGCTGGCAAACCTATTAAGAATAGTAGTAAAATTGCCACATACTCGCCATTTATCGGTCCCGCTGGAATCATTCGTTCCACCGGACGGATTGTGCGCTTAGTGAATACCGAGTTTGATACTAAGCACCCAATAATACTCGACGCCCGACATACCTTAGTTCGTTTGTTGGCCCGCAGCCTCCACCATAAGCATTTTCATCAAGGGTTAGATTACATGCGCTCCGTTTTAAATATGAAATATGCAATACTTGGGTTGCGTCGACTACTTCGGTCTATCGAAAATCAATGTGTAACATGCCGTAAACGCAAAGCAAGCACCATCCAGCCAATTATGTCCGATTTACCGGTCGAACGTCTCGGATACAAGCAACCACCCTTCAATCATACGGGTGTGGATTACTTTGGACCGCTTTACGTTCCGGTTCGCAGAAGCACGGAAAAAAGATGGGGATTTCTTTTTACTTGCCTCACCACCAGGGCTGTACACCTTGAGATTGTACCATCTCTGGACACCAGTTCGTGTGTCATGGGCATTGAACGGTTCGTTGCGCGCCGTGGTACGCCAAGCACAATCTGGTCGGATAATGGCACGAACTTCGTTGGTGCGGAAAAGGAATTACTTGCCTGCATCAAGAGCTGGAATGGCATGGCTCCGACCATTTTTGCACATAAAGGTGTTACTTGGAAATTTAACCCGCCAGGCGCACCTCATCATGGCGGCTCCTGGGAACGCCTCGTCCGAAGCGTGAAGCGCGTGCTGTACGATATCCTAGGCAGTAGGCGAGTCACTGAAGAGGTGTTAGGAACAACACTCTGCTTAGTTGAACAGGCTTTGAATTCGAGGCCAATCACTCCCGTTAGTACCGATTCACGTGAGTTAGAAGCGTTAACCCCAAACCATTTTTTGCTTGGACAACATGCCACAAGCTTTCCTTCGCTTTTACCCGGGGAGCACTTCGATCACAAGAAAAGGTACGTGCGAGCGCAGTCATATGCTAACGCGATTTGGTCTCGTTGGCTTCGAGAATATGTTCCCTCGCTGAATAAGCGTGTCAAGTGGCACACTCATTCTGACTTCACTCTTAAAACAGGCGATCTCGTGTGGGTGATTGAGCCCGATAGTCCGCGTGGGTACTACCCTCTCGCCCGAATCGTCAAGCTAAACTACGGACAGGACGGTTGCGCCCGATCCGCCCTTGTCAGGACCGCAACCCGTGAAGTCACGCGGCCGACCGTTAAGCTCGCTCCGGTTCTTCCTTCTTCAGGTGGGGAGGATGTTGCAATGCAAAACAAGAGTATAGAATAAAACAAGTATAGATGCATATAAAATAAGCACAGTTGGCCAAGCGGGCTAAGACAAAGTAAGCTAACGCCGATTATATGTGTGAAATAACAGTTGACGTAGGTTCGAGTCCCCCACCTGCCCATGTATTAATATACTAAAAACGGGGGTTACATCCTATTTTAACTGTTTTTTGGTTCTAATTTGGTTCAGCCTTGATTAAGGTTGACCGCCAAAAAGAGCAATTTGTCTCAAGGACATTACCGACCGGTTCTTGTGGCTAGCTTGCGCCGTTTTGTACCAAAAACGGACAGATGATAAAAATGTTATATGATGTTCAGATCAATAGAAATAATGCCGAAATTAATTTATTGACCGAGTTATTTGCCGAGAAATATCTCTTATTAATTTAACGAGTTTGGATCAGTTTTGGAGATTAGCGAGCATAAATATTTCGATTGTCAAAATCTACTAACCGAAGCAAGTCGTTATTCGTCACTGATATGAGAGACTAATTTTGGAAAGATACGTTTTTATTCTTAGCAAAGGATCTTATCTTATTGCAGAATGTCTTAGTGCGTTGAAGTTAGAGCTGATTTTTCTAGAGCTAGTCAGATGGTAAAATTTTGGCTTCTTCAGATCAAAGGTCCAAAACAAAGCTCTTTATAACTGTTTTTTTTACTGAAAAGTTTTGATCAAACTTTTATTCATGCTTCACTAAAGCTACAAATTCAAAAACTGCTGTAGTTAATATGTGTTTTCAGGTGAAAACCTTTGACCTTCTAGTTTTTTGACATAACATCCCGAATCCATTTGATATGTGGGCTGACTCTGGCAAAGGCACTTCCATCATTGCACTTTTCGAGCGAGGCCGGAGGTTTGGGAGAATCGGAGCCAGATCGAGATGAAGACCCAACCGAATAGGAAGAGGAGGAAGAAAACGGGGAAGGAGAACGAGACGAATGCGAGGAATGCGGCGAATGCGACCTTTTTGAATGTTGTCCTGATTGAGATGAGAGCCCTGAATGAGGTGAATCAGATGAATGTGACGCCGAACGAGCTAAATTGCCTGGTTGTGTGAATTCAACTCCTTCGAAACTATTTCCCATGCTAGCTTCTTTTTCAGTACTAATTTTGTTATGACTAAAGAAATAACTAGCAACTCCGTAAAGACAAGATGGTTGTAAAATGAATCCACGTTCTGTTGAGCAACCAATTCCATAAAGAGGTCCCCCTTCGTCCTGGAAACACATATTGGAATCATCGATAACATTTTCGGTACAGATATCGCCAGCTGGGCATGCGTTCCACGAGAAGGGGTTGTGTCGTTCGAAAACAGTCTCGTACAGGGGGAGTTCCTGAAGCGTTCTTGCAATATGCATTTTGGAACTGTGCATGGTTCCCATACCGCAAGCGGCCAAGGGTACTCCCAGGGTGGGCTCGTTTGTACAGATGGGAAGGGGTATGGCTTCGTCCAGTTTGTACTTCAGTTTGAGCAGGGCGATGTTATTCTTGGGTCGTTTAGAGAGTGAATATCTGAAAGAAAATATTGTAAATGGTGAGATTAAAATGAAAATTAAAATGAAGCCGGAGTATCAATTATAACAGCAAGGGTGGATCTAGGATTTTCTCGAGGAGGGGGGGGGGGGGGGGACGGATTTTCAAAAAATTTTCGAACATTTGTCGACTTTTTTTAGGTCGACCAAATTGATTTTTCCAAAGCACTACAAAGACCCTGTTTCGGGCCAAATTTCAAAAAACAGGCCGAAAAGGGCGTTTTTAGGCACTTTTTGGAACATTTTGTCCAAAAAATCGCGTTTTTTCGGCGCGCGCTACCCTCTCAAAA